CCCAATAATTGTTGACATTTAGCCAACTTTTTTCAATACTCGGTAACAAAGGAACGGCTGTATAAGACCACTAGGAAGGAGAGATGGTTAATACAAAGGGAAAGGGGAACAGGTCTTATACTGTGTAAGTCAGAATCTGGTGCTGTCAATGTCTCAACCACCACAAAGAAATGGGCTTCCAGAAAACCGATGATCAGCGGGGATGGTGGAGTTTAGCATCTTCAGGCCCTAAAATCTGGCAGCACCCCAGACTTGCCCTGTAAGCGTCCCTTTCCAAAGGAACGGATTTCCAAAAGGATTTCCCTCTTCCCTCCCCACACTTCGAGTAAATACTGCTAACAGCGCAAAGTGCACATCCCGGGGGACCCAAGACACCCGGGCCGAAAGCAAATAACCCCAAAATAGAGCCCTTTCTGGGAAACTGGTGCTTCCAGAACCTTCTCAACACCACTCCTGCTCCCCCTCCGGGCTTTTACTTTAAACCAGGGAAGATGGAAAAAAAGGGGCTGAAAAGAACAGGCAAGGCCGCTCCCTAGAACCAGACGCCAGCTGCCCCAGGTGCGCCAGGTGCATTCCCGGAGGCGTTGAGGGCAGGGGCAGGTAGGCTATGGAGGGCCCTGCACCTCGTAGTGGGCCCGCCTGCGGGGGAGGCCCTCTGGGTGGGGGTGGGTGGGCGATGGGTGGGTCCCTTACGGTCTCCCTCAGCTTCCTCTCGTAGTCCAGCTCGCGCTGCAGACTGCCCGCGCGCTCCTCCGCGGCGTCCGCCTGCTCCTGCAAGCTCCGGATTTTCCTCCGCACCGCCTCCAGCGAGCTGCTCCCGGCCATCGCTCCGGGCGGCGGCGGCGGGCTGGCGGGCAGGCTGCGGTGCGAGAGGCCGGCTGCTGCGCTCCAGCCGCCGCTGCCGCACTCCTGAGCACCCGGCCGCCCCGCCCAGGCCGCGCCGCGCAACGGCGGCGCCCCCAGCGGCCCAGGACCAGCCCGGAAGTGGCGGTCTCCCGGGCGGCGCAGGCGAACCGCAGGCGGGTGCGCGAGCGCCGGGGGCGGGCACAGCGGGCGGGGCGGGGCACGCGCCATGGACCCCGGGAATTTGCAAACCTCGGGAGATACTGCGCATGCTCGCGGCAGCCGGGCGGGCGGAGGCGGTGGGCAAGCTGAGGGACACCTGGAGAGCAGAGCACGGCCAGGCGGCCAGCGTGCCAGAAATTTTACTTGGACTCCCAGCGGCCTTCCCTGGTTCCCCGGTGACCCGGGGTAACGGACCTGGCTGCTAAGGGCGACGGTGCCGCCTACTGGCGGCGGGAGCATCGCACTCGGGAGTTACAGATTCCCAAGCCAAGAGGGGGAGAAGCTGAGAGAGGGGTTTGGGGCCTGAATGTGTCCCCAGAGGGACAGTTCCTCGTTGCAGAAAACCCCAGCACGCAAGATCCTAACCACAACAACCTTCCTCCCTCACCAAACTTGCGAAGTGAAAGCCACTAACATACTGCATTGTGATTAAACCTTATTCTAAATACATCCTTTCTGGGTTAGGATCCGGCTCCTAGACCTCTCCAGGCTGTTGACTTTGGCCAAATAACTTGACTTTTCTAGGCTTCATCTATAAAAGTGGGGTTAATAGTAGTACTTTCCTCACAGGGCTGTGGCGAGGATTATGAAATCATACAAAGCACTCAGCACCACACATTGTGCATAAACGATCGCTTTCGTGATAAAGATGCAGGCACTGTCTTAAGGTTCAGGCGGGGGCGCATAACCAGCTGTGTTCTCAGAGCCCCGCGCCTCTTGGGGACTCACTTTCCTTTCCATAAAGACAATCATCTGGAGGGTCTCTTACACTTCCAAACGTCTTTGGTTTGAGTTCAGCCTCAGATCTTCTGGAATCTGACCAATTCTGGGCTGGACTGGGATGCCTTTAAAAGGCACAGCCGTGAAGGCTACAGAGCCTCTGACTACAGCTGGATGAAAACCCAATCTCTGGGAACGGTCCTCTGCCAATCCTCCCTCTGGGGTGCATTTTTAGATGCCTTCTAGATCTCACGGCTTTCTTCCTCACCTTTCTCACAGGAGGTCCTTCATGTCAATTTCTGATTGTTTAAGTGTGGGAATAATGAAGAAAAAAAAATATATACCACCCGCCCCCCCCGCAAAGCCCTAACAACGACCCTCCTCCTTTGCCCCCACCCCCTCATTTTCTTCGGACTCTGTCACAGTCTCCCTGGAGACTCTCACAAACCTCAGCATGTGCCCTCACGTCCCGTAGGTGGAGCCTCTCGCTTTGTTTCCATACAGTTCATCTGGTCAGGCAGGAGTTACAACTCCTCCCCTAGAGGAGTACCAGACACTGAGTGGGCCTCCAACTTTGAAGGTGGAGGAAGGGGGTGTATCGGGGCCTCCAGGAGAAGCCAGGGAAACGCTGGACACTTGCAAGTGCTCTCGGCAGCCAACTAATGACTTAATGTCCTGCTTTTCAAACACCTGGGAAAGACAGTTTCAGGTGAGTTCATTTTCATGCTGATGTCATTATACAAGAGTTTAGGACAGTTCTCAACCTTGGCTGCACATTTAAAAAATACTAATGCGTGGGTTCCACTCCCAGAGATTCTGATTTAATTGACCTGGGATGCAGCCTGGATTTGGGGTTTTAAAACCACCCTAGGAAAATTCTGTTTACATAAGGTTGAGAATTACTGATTTAGGAAGCAAAAACCTACAGGGAATAAAGACTCACATACTGCAAATATTAGATACATCACAATTATTGGGGAAGGGTTGAGGAGCTGGTGAGAAAATGGAGTCTTGGATCCCCTTTAGGCTCATTTAGGCGGAACACCAAAAATTTCACACCAAAACCACCGGGGTGCTACCTTGTGAATTACAATTATTTACGCCAGGAAGCCCCCTACTTGTGGAATAAGATTTGAAGAGTATGTTGGTAAATAAGCAGAAAAATATTTTTAGTAGTAGGAAAAAAATGAAAATGTTTTTACACTGGTGAGTAATGGCAGTGAAGTATCCTAATTCCAAATGTAATCTGATTCTACCTCAGGAAGCTGACCTGCTACCTCCCTCTTTCTCCAGTGTTATCAGTCTCTTCCTCCTGAAGTCTTGCCTATTTTTACTAGTTAGGAATCACTTTAAATATAGCTTTTCTTTGCAAATGTCCTTCAACATCCCTACAGGTTCCAGACAACCTAAAATGTCTTAAAAGGGAAGACAATCAATATATTACCAAAAGAAAGAAAGAAAGAAAAGTACCATATTAGGGATAGTTTTCCGGTAGGAAAAAAAAAAAAAGAACCAAAACAGTTTCAAAAATGTCCCTCCCCTGCTAACCACGCCTCCCCCAGGTGGCTTTAAATGCCCTCATTTCCACTGCTGCCCCACCTCATTCCAGCATTCCCTGAAACAAGACTTTTCCATAAAGACATGATAGCACCACATAGTTAAAATAATTATGATCTTTTTTCCCTTTAAGAATTGTAGTAGCTTTTTTCTCTTTCTCTTGCCTTCAGTCTTACTGGGCTATTTTCAAATTCTCTGCATTCTTTTCCTTATAAGGAATATCTCTCCTTGATCTATCAGCGGCTCTTTTGAAAAAAGCTAAATAAACGTCCTGCTGGAGAATTTGGGGGAGACAGACATCCTCCATTTAACCTCATACGGAGCAGACATCTGATCTATATTATACAGAGCAGGCGCAGAGTTATGTGTATTTTTTGGCTCGGTTTCTGAAGCCAGGTAGTTTGTAACTTTAATGTTTTAACTAAGTCGGTGCTTCTGTGAACCCCCTTTCCAGTAATCTTGCCGGTCATTGAAATATTTTTGTTGATTCTCAAGGTTTTATGTCTGGATTTCTCATTTACAAAGCATGCTTGGAGATCACACTTTAAGCCTTTCAAGCCACAAAAAGCCGTTACTGGTTTTAAGACCCAAGACCCTCCAGCAATTTGCATTTCACACTCATACAAGAAATTCTGCCATTGTGCTTGGTAGTTCAGCTTCTGGGCACAGCTTTCCCCGGTGCTCATACATTCTTGGAATTGTTACTAACTTCCCAAGGAATTCTTTCCTAATTGGGCCTCTAGCCTTAATGAGCTTCTACAGTGGAATCCAACAGTGTGAAAAGAAGTCGTTCCTTTGGAAGTCTAATGCTTGGCTTGACTTCGGGGGCAGAAGAGGGAGGCTCTTCAGTGAAAAAAGATTCCAAAGCGCAGTGGGCAAAGTGCTGGTAGAGTTTTTGCAGTGTGTGTATCACCCCTGAAACTATGTGGTGGTTGTCAGAAGGCTGACAGGTGGGGGTGGGCAAGCTGGAGGGGCAGGGGCAGTTAGCTCACTATACCATATAAAGCACTGAGCTATATATAACTCATGGGGTACTTTCAGGATCTAGCGCTGTCCGACTGCAGACCCAAGCAAGTATCATCTTCCCAGGCAGATCTTAAGGGCTGGATTAAGGCTTCCCTAGGAAGAAAGGAGGACTCAAGGGCTGCTGCACCCCAACATCGAGCTCAGCCTTCTAAGTCAAAGTAGCACCATGCCATACCTTCCATTTAGAGCCAGGCCCTCTTTATCCTGACTAGACTCACCATGGAAAACCAGGCATTCCCACCCACCAGATACGGCAAAGGAAAGAAAGCAAAGAAAACCAGGCATTCTGTTTGCACCAACCTTGGTGATGACACCTCAAGAGGTTTTCTGCCACGGGGGAGGCAAGGTTCACCTCCAGCATCCAATTTCAGCCACTCCATTGCCCGCCTGTCACCCACCCACCTCCACCCCCAGGAGTGGGAAAGAAGGAGAAAAAGAGGAGTGGATGAAATATAAATGAATGTGTGCAACAGAAGTCTGAGGCAGCATCCAGTGCTCTGAGCCGTGTCAGGGCTGTGTGCGGGTGTCCAGCAGGAGGAGGCGACCCTCTTCCATTGCTCCTTGGCTACTGTGGTGACCGTAGGGTGGCCACTAGGCAGGAGGGGAGGGAGGTAATGTGTGCATGCACTTACGTCCGTGGCCTTTTTCTCTGCCAGCTCCAACTTCTCCTGGGCATCTTTGAGAGCCTCGGAGTATTTGTCCAGTTCATCTTCGGTGGCTTTGAGTTTCTTTTGCAGCGACACCAGCTCATCTTCCAGCTGGGAGTTGGCCGTGGCGGACGGGGAGGGGTGGGGGTGGGGTGCAGCAGGCAGCGTGATCCCGCAGGGGAGGGGTGTGGGTGCACAGAACCAGAAGGACAGGGACAGCGGGAGAGAGAGAGAGGGAAGGACAGGGAGGGAGAGAGAAAGAGAGAGACAGAGTTAGCCATTCGTGCTCCGCGCCACGCCGCGCGCCCTGGGTACCTTGGCGGCGGCCTCATCCGCGGCCAGGAGGCTGTCCTCCGCCTTGTGCAGCTCCTCCAGCACCCGGTCCCGCTCGTCCTCCGACGCCCGCAGCAGCTTCTCCTTCGCCGCGATGTCCTCCTCGAGCTGGGGGGCAGCGGCGGGCGGGCGCGGGTGGCCGGCACGGACCGGGTGTTAGACACACACACACAACACACGGGCGCCTGGTTGGCTGGGGCCCCTGGCTTGGGGCGCCGCCGACTTGGAGTTCAAGGGGCTCTAGGTAACCTCTTCTCTCCCGAAGCTGCAACCGCACGGTGGCCCACCCTGCACCCCCACCTCCCGCGGGACGAGTCTCCCGCCGAGGTCTCAGCGGGCTCAAGTCCACAAGTGGGGTGCAGAAAAACGCCCCTGCGTCCCTGGCCTTCGGGCCGTACTCTCTATTCTGTCCCATCTTTGTTCCTAGGAAAAAACTTAATGACTCCCCCCACCCCCACACCACGCCCAGTCTCTATCCCTGTTGAAGCTTTCATTCTTTCCAGTCAAAAGTCCAGAATAATGTCTAACACCTTCTGGACTCGATTTCCCTCAACCCCCCCCCCCCCCCGCAATCCAACATTGATCCCCAACCCTGAGAATCAAGTGCCTCTAGGACTTGAGTTTACTTCGCGGGCTCTGGAAAGCAGAGGAGGGAAATAAATGTCCCCAGACGAGACCAAAAAGTTAGAATTAGCCCGGGTCTTGCTCTTCCCCTCCCCCTTCTCAGCTGCGCGCCCCTGGCCGCCCAGGAGTAGGGGGGTGGCTCCCCCCGTCCTCGAGGTGATCAGCCTGGAAGGGGTGCCAGGCGCCCAGGGCTCGGGGGCACCCGGGCGGGCGCAGGGCTGGGGACGCGCAGACCTGCTTGCTCCTGTCCTCCGCCGCCTTCTTATCGGCTTCGGCTTGCTCGGCTCGATCTAAGGCGTTCTCCTTGTCGAGCTTGAGCATCTGCATCTTTTTCTTGATGGCGTCCATGGTGGCGGCGGCGAGGGGCCCTGGGGCTGCGGCGGGAGCGGCGAGACGAGTGCGCGGTGGGGCGGCCGAGCCGGAGTGCGAGCGCGGAGCCGCCTGCTGCTCCCAGATATGTACTTTCCCAAGGGGGCGACCGCATTCCTCGAGACAGCCAATACTTTTTTGGAAAAGCTTTTTTCTCCTGCCCCCTTTCCCCCTCTCCTCCCTCCGCCCCCTGCCCCCTCCCCTCTCCTTCCCGCGGGGGCCGCGCGCCCATTCGCTGCCGCCTGCCGGCCTCCCAGTTGACGGTGGATATGACTATATATGGGGACCGGAGCCGCCGAGGCGGCGGCCGAAGGAGGCCGCCCTGTTTCCAAACCTGCGCGCCAGGGAGAGGTTGCCGAGGCCTCGCTGGGGCTGAGCAGGGCCGAGGCGCTGACCTCTGCCCTGTGCCCTCCGCGCCCCTTCCTCCCGGGGCCCACGTCCCGCCATCGGGGTCCCCAGCCGGGCCTTCCCGAGCCCCCCTGGGAGGCCGGGGGAGTGGAGCAGGTAGTGGGTGCGCGTCGCCCTGGGGGGTCGCCGGACCCCGGCCCTCTCAGCATCCCGCCCAGGGGACCTCCCAGCAGCCGCCGTGCCCGGCCCCAGGCCTGCGCTTTCCCGGCACCCGCCCCCAGCTTGCCCCCTACGCAGCTCTCAGCTTGCCAGGTGTCATCTGGGAGATCCCTCTCTAGAGGAGGGAAGGGAGAGTTGAGAGGAAGACCTGGGGGAAGGCCTCCTGAGACTTTCCTGCTGGTGAGGGTCAGGATGTCTGGGAATCTGTCTTCTGTGCGCCATTCTCCCCAGAGGAGGGACAGTCAAAGACTTTAGGGACAGGGGACCCAGTTGGCTTAGTTCTGCATGTTCATGTGCCTGTGTGTGGTGGTACAGCAAATGGTAGGCTGTGTGTGTCTGTGTGTAGGTGGGTGGGTGGGAGTTTAAGGGGAAAGAACTTTGAGTTTAGACTTAGGCACCCTGGTCTTCAGTCTCTTACCACCAGCAGATGTGTGACCTTGACAAGTAACTTAGGTTCAGTATCTTTTTAAATCCAGGGGGTGGATGGTCCCTGAGGTGCTTCCAGATCTAACTTTGTCATTATTCCTGCACTGATTTTAGGGAGTCAGCCTCTTTCCATGTTTAGATGTTCAGATACTAGGTTGCCGAAATGCTGGCCAAGTGTTATCCCAGCTAAGTCATTGTATCCACAGCCATAGCCCTGAGGAGGGATCAGGTCCAGCTGTGTATAGTGAGCTCTCCTTGGAGGCAGGAGGATTTCCCCTCCATCTCTCACTCTTTCCCAAGGGGAAAAAGCCCATTCTTTTTAGAGCTTTGGTGGGAAGGGAAGAAAGGGGGCTTCCCTAGGACCCTGGCTGACCCTGGCTGACACAGAGTTGGTGAGGGTCTTGTTAACAGTCCCTACAGAGTAATTCACAACCTGTACTACATGGATACTGAATATTCCCCAGACGGTGTCTGAGTGGATTAGGCAGGCCAAACAACTTGTAAGTCCTTCAGAGAATGATCAAGTTCCTCTCCAGGATTTTATCAGGTTTCTTCCACTAACCCAACTGCCCAGGCAGGAAAAAAATACCCTGACCTAATGGTCAGAATATTAGATCTGTGTGCATAGGAGCTGCCTGGCACAGATATTCACCAAGACCCTTTAATCACCATATGTCCGCCCAGTGACTGGAGCACAGAAAAGGTTCAAGGCCTCTGGGCAGTAGACAGATGAATGGATCACAGGGAGCTGACTCCCTAGCTTGGAGCTCAGCAGAGAGGGCAAGAGCAGGGACTCAGGAGATAGACTGCAGATTCCAAAGCTGGCCTGGCTACCTCCTTACAATGCAAAGGGGCTCTTTAAGCCCCTGTTTTCTCTTCTGTAAGAGTAGGTGTTTAAAAGTCTTCCTTCTTAGGGTTGTCACAAGGATGAAAATGAGACCAAGAGTGAAAGGCATTTGTCTAGCACATAGCAAAGTGTTCCGTCAATAGTGGCTCTTCGGGTGGCAGACAGCAAATCATTTCTCCTCTCTGGGACTCAATTTTCTCATCTATGAAACTAGACAGCTGAACTAGAGAAACTCCTGGAGAGATCATATATATTACTGACTTTCCTCCATTGTGCCTAATAGAGCAGAGAAATTCGTTAAAGTTTCCTTAAATGTCTGGTGCTACAGATAATTCATCGAACACCCCGTTGGGGAGTGCCTTCTATGTACTAGGCAGGCACTAAGTTCTGGGATTCCAAAGTGAGTAAGACATGTTCATGCTCTCCAGGTGTTCAGCATGAACAGGGGTAGAAGAATTCAGAGGAAGAAGACCTAGAAATCACCAGGAGTCATATCAGACAGAAAAAAACTTTTCTGAAAAGTGGTGATTTTTAAACCCATTTTAGAGGGGCACCTGGGTGGCTCAGCTTGCTAAGCATCTGCCTTTGGCTTCAGGTCATGATCTCAGGGTCCTGAGATCCAGGACCTGCTCAACAGGGAGCCTGCTTCTCCCTCTCCATTTGCTGCTCCCCCTGCTTGTGCTTTCTTGCTCTCTCTCTCTCTCTCTCTCTCTCTCAAATAAATAAATAAATAAATAAAATCTTTAAAAAAAAACTGATTTTAGAGGAAGGGTAGCAGTTAGGGAGAAGGGTATTGTATGAGCCAAGAGAAAAACAAGGAATGTTTGATGGTGGCTGGACAGTAGGTTTATTTGGGGGGTGAACTGGGACATGAGACTGGAAAGATCATTGAGGGGGCCATGTGGGGGACTTGAATCTCAAAGTTCACATGTTCAGCTCTTCTTGTATGGTTTGAAGCCATCTACTTCGTTCCCCTTCCTTCACCTCCCACCTAAGTCTGTGTTCAGAGGAGGAAAACCGTGGTGTCCAAGTGTGGAAATAGAGCAGCATAGAGCCAATTTTTTTAAAAATCCCGTACTACCGTGTCATTGACCGCTAGACTGATGGATTAACTTAGCAGGTCCCTGGGCTCCATAATTTCCATTTCACCACTGTTGAGAGTTTCCTCCATAAATAGCCTGACAGCCAAACCCCACCCAGCTTGATGGACTGCACATCCGTGACCTGTCATGCAGAGCCAGGACAAGCAAACATCGTGACTTAACTCAAACAATTTCTTCCATATGGGACAGGTCTTCTGGTGCTTGGAGAGGATCAAGAGGGCTGGGCTGGACAGCAGCATGCTACAGTGTTATCCCTGTTCCCAGCAGACTGGCCATGACTCAGGAACAGACTATAGACTAAGCAGGGACCTAGGTTGCAGCCTCTCAGACAGAAGGACTGGGCTACTCAGCTTCTTTCTCACTGCACTTTGAATGAAGGAACATGGAAAATATGAATCATTAGCCGTGGCTGCTAAAACAAAAGGGGTTTGCAGTCTTGGGCTGGAGATGTCTTGAATGAGGGTAATTAAGGCCATTCATGCATATTTGGGCTTTCTCTCCAATCACGGTCTTGGTAGGATTGCTCATCCCCACCCAGCTAAGTTAGTTGTGGTCAATGCTTGTTTTGGCTCAGGAAATGTGAGCAGAAGTGACATATGGTGGACACGTTAAGAGCACATTCCTCCTCCTGTTTCTTTTTCTAGACAGTCGCTGCTCTGTCATTTTGGGTTCCCAAGTAGCTATGATAAGAGGAATTCCCCTTCTCCCCCAACTAACTCTTGGTGGACATGTAGCCAGAGCGAAATATAAACTTTTGCTATTTTAGGCCAATGAGATTGGGGGTTACTTCTCTTGACTAATACACTAGAATAGGCTGTGTATCCTCCAAGTTTTGAGGAAGCAGAGAAATTCAGTTATGGAGAAAGAATGGAACAGACTTACCAAGATAAACACAAAGACCATGGAGAGAAAGAGATTGGGAGAATCTGATCATATTTCAGTTCCAAAGGTCCTTATAATAACTCTCTTTCTTTCCTGGGGTAACATGAGAGAGTCTGTGTTCTTTGAAAGTAAAAAGCCGACCAAATCATACTGGTGGAGAAGTCTGTACAACACACTTGGCCCCGAGCTTCTGTGTGGACACTAAAAGCGTCTGTGGAATTTCCAGATTATTCCAGGTCTTGGTATCAGTCATTTCTCAATAAATGTTTGTTGAATGACGGTTTATTGGCTATTAGTCATATGAGTAAGTAGGAGAAACAATACCTGGAAGGAAAGATAACAAAGCGAGGTGCAAAAGTTTCATCTCCATTGAAAATAAGGACTCCATGGTTTATTTTCTGAAGAATAAATGTAAGTATTGTGCTAGGGTAGTTCAAACGTCCCTCAAATATTTATGGAACACCTTTGGTGTGCAAAAGGTTTAACTAGAGTTTGTGAGGCTAGGGAAGGTGGATAAGAGACATGGATCTTTTCCTCCAGGAAAATATGTATGTTGCTGATAAAACCCTCTCTCTGGGGGTCATTTAATGTGCATTCCCCACAGTGTTATGACCATTGTCCCAAATGCTGTCTCGGCCCCCTCTAGCTATGAGGATCACATAACTCAGGTTTTCTCGGAGAGCTTTAATATTAAATATACTGTCCCTTTACCCCCATAAGAGCACCCATACGTGCCACACAACATTTCCCAATATTTGGTTAGAAAAGAGAGTTAACATGAGCAAAGCTTGCTACCAGGACACCATTAATAGGAACACTTACTTGAATATGTCCGTGAGGGATTGTTTGTCTAAAAACATAAAACAAAAACAAAACCTCATTACCTGATAGTTACACCTTCTTTCACAGCAATGGCTTTGTGTACGGGGACTGCCCCAGAGTCAACAGTGCTGACTCAAGCAATTAAGGAAAAGTGAAGAATCTATAATTAAATCGAAAGACAATTGCTTCTTCTACTGGGGTTTGGAATGCAGAGTGTTATTATGTTCATGGCTCATTGTCTCACGGAACAAGATATGGCGTGTTCTCTTCATCCATAGGGAGTTTTCTTTCTCATGGGCTTGGGATGCCACCACCACCAAGGACCCAAGGAAAATAGGCTCTGCTTCCAGGAAGAGTTCAGAGCTCTGAGAAAAGTCTTCAGGCCCCGTGGCTGGCCCCGACTCCGCGGAGAGGCCCCCGAGTGCGGGCACTACCTGGATGGTTCACATAGGCAATGTGGTTCTCCCAGTACAAAGAAGAAA